CCGAGCTGGGGCATGACTCATGGTCACCTTGGGGCACCAATGGCTGTCGTCCACGTGTCCAGGGTATTCTTTCCCCCAAACACTATTATTAGGAAAGTTGGAGAGCCCAGCTGAATTACATAAAATTCTATCTATCCGTTCATACACAGTCTGACCATTTGGCCTTCTATTACACCACGTATAGGGGTCACCCGAGAAGCCCATATCGATAAGGTTACAGTCATCTACAACACTACTAAAATCATTAATCAACTTATCCGCCTTTGTACGACCACCCTTATTTTCCCCATGTTGTAAGATACCATTGAAATCGCCCCCAATCAACCACGGGATCGAAGTACTGCCCCTTAGTCGCCTCATTAAATCCTAGGACAACTGTCGTTCTCCTCTTCTAGGTACCCATAGAATCCCGTCAACCGCCATTGCTTCCCATCACTTGCCACCTAACCATCGATGTGGTGATCTGAATCAGAATTTAGATTATAATCCACCTGCTCATTCCAAAGCAACGCCAAGCCGCCACTTCTCCCTTGATAATCCACTGAGACGAAGCAATTCTGGAAGCCCAATTGTAGCTTCATATCATCCCACTTGTCACATAGTACTTTTGTTTCGGAACAAAATAACACTTGGGGTCTCAATTTTTACACTAACTTGTGTAGGTTCGAGAATGATCGAGGGGCCCCAACCCTCGAACATTCCAAAAAAGGACAATCATTGGGACCGGCTGGGCTGTTGAACAGCCTCCGCTGATATAATAGGTACGCTGTCAAATGCATATTCCACTTCTTCACCACCTACTTCACCTTCACACTTCAATCCTTTTTCGCAGCTTAATGTAGCCTCTATGTCACTGGAAATTCCTTTCCGTTTGCCTAATTTGTTGGCTCAAGCCTGAGATTATTCCTTTTACTTTCCTTGTCCATGTCTGTTTTATCACTTTCTCTGATTTTTTGCTATGCTCCATTAGGCCCATCGGCCTATCACCATTGGTTGAAAAATCCATCTGTGGTTTAAAATTAGATAAGGTCAAAGATTCTGTGGAATTTCTCATTTCAAATTGGAGAATAATTCCTTTCCTTTTACACCTCCTTTCAAATGTAAAATTAATTCGATATCCATTTGGTCAATATAATCCCCACTGATATCCGCATTTTCCTTATTAGCCTGATTATTCTCTCTCACCGTATCACCAGATGCCACTAATTGCTAGGTTAATGAATGCACCTTATTTTTCGCCTTAAATGATGATCTTTCCTCAGCCATCTGATTCGGTATCTCAGCCTCTGACCGCTCCGGACTTTCTGCCGCCGTCGTCCGCCGTTGATCGGAGATTGGTTCCTCCAGATTTCTCCAATTTTCATCACTTCGCTACCATTCTCCACGGCCTCCTCGACATCCACCAAACTACGAACCCCTATCACCATGGACACCCCACCTACTATTTCCATCCTCTCGATACTGTGATTTCTTTAGGATCGGCGCCCGAAGCCATTCGCCATATTGTTCATGTTTGCCAGTACCCATCGCAGCATATCGCTTATTAATCCTTTTACTTGTGTGAAGTTTACCATTCATACCTTAGTGGGCACCAACTCTCCTTCTCGTCACCAGTTCTAACTTTTAGACCTCTCTTGAAAGGCTTTGAGATATCGATTTGAACTCTTACACGTATGAAAGGTCCTGTCCATTCATAAGACCCGTTGCAATCAATTTCCTCAACTTCGCCAATTCTAGTCCCAAGAAATTTTGCCATATCCTTGATCATACATTGAAAAGGAATGCAATGTATCTGAATCCATAAAGCAAAGAAATTGAAGTTCATATCTCTTGGTTGGTCAGTAGCTGTTGGCGAAGTCAACACCAGTAACGACGTTTCGAAAGACCAGGGTCCTGATGTAAGAACCCTATTTTTCTCAGCCATAGATTTGAAGACAATGACGTATAAGTTCATTCCTGCAGTCTCTATATGTGTGGATTCATGAACTTTCCACAATGATTTCATAACCGATCTAAACGCTTCCACACTAATCCTTTTGCTTGTGTGAAGTTTACCCACCGCATAACGTTGGACATTCTCTGGGGTCATTAATGGTTTCTCACTATCAATGATTATAGTTTCTTCCTTTTCCTTGGTTAAAGTGAAATTCTCCCAAAGCTCTGTGATTTCATCCATTGCAGGTGAATAAGAAATCCTCTAGGCCGACATGTCAAATGTTAATTTTTTGCGGTGCTTGCAAATATGGCAAAAGATTACATAAAATTAATAAAATAGCACTCACATTCCAAAATTTCAAATATAGCAATTTTTTACCAGGAGCCCACATTGTTAAAAGTCCTAATTATCGTGCAAGCTCAATATTAACATGCAAAAGCCTAAAGATGGTAGCCCAAACCAAAAGACAACCTAATTTTTCCATCCTTTCGCTTTCCGTTCGACTTCCATCCTTCACCACCACTATTTCGTTCAAACCATCAAAACAAAACCTAATTTTTCAACTTTCACTCAGATTTCCGTTCGATTTCCGTCAAGAATGTCATCCCTAACTCATTTCCGTTCGTTTGATTCTCATCCAACCTTCAAGTCTCTGATTTGCAGCCCAAATATTGTCTGATTTCCGTTCGATTTCTGTCAAGAATGTCATCCCCAACTACCATTTTCGTTCATTCAATTCTCATCCAAGTAGCAAGGAGCTACAATGTTTACCAAATTTTGATTTCCATCTGATTCCGTTCGTTCGTTCGTTCTGATATCATTCGATTTCCATTCGATGACCAAATTACCATCGACTTTGGTAACTCTAATTATATGTAAGTATATGTCCACGTTTTGAAATCATTATTTTTGCTTCATTTTGTTGGGCTTTCAGTTTTCAGTATCGATTTACATTCTTCCATTCAATTTTTACTCCAGTTTCTTTCAATAGAGGTATATATGTTTCCATTTCGATTTTTGCTTCCATTTTTTCTAAACTCCTAACAAACAATGCTTCCATTTTGATTTTTGGGATAAGTAGAGATATATATGTTTACTTCCATTTCGATTTCCAATGATACAAGATTAATCGGTCAAACTCATTGATTGAGTTAATCAACATTCGTTAACTACAGGTCACTCCACTAAAGATCCGCAGTTGCACTCTTCTCACTGCAGAATGTTTTCGTGTCCATAGATATACGACCATTAACGACAAGTCAATCCTTCACGAGTGTTCGTAACCACAGATGGGTCAAATTACCGTTTTACCCCTGTGTTACATCTTGCTCCTTAAATACCACTGCTCCTCTAATGAAAAACTCGGTTATGGTCCGACCAATAACCGAAAGTCCCCCTCGGGCCAGTAAGAGGGTGGGGCCCTTTGTTCAAGTCCCAGAGTCAGCATTTAAGAGAACGCTCATCTACTCCCTAAAGTTGGGGACGACTGAATTCCATTTTGTGAAGTTATGTTCCCAACTCCCCACTCGGTCTCGTTCCTAAAATTGTAGGAATATTGAGTCGGCGTTTCGGGCCACTCTCACCCATACGGATCAAAAGATGAGCCCAAATGGGCAAGAGTCCAGAACTCACTCAGGATTGAGAATGAGTTGTCTCGTCATCCTAAGAAATAGCAATCTGTTAGTTAACAGTATTACATCTAAAGATTGGCTATTTTGCAGTCCGATCTTATACAAACTCATTGTATAAGACACCCCCACTCGCATGTCTCCACACGAGCGACCTGCATCGAGTCGTCTGTAACATTTATAGAGTAGGTCGTATCCATAGTGTTGCCAGGATAAGGTATCGAGGCTTATACATATACTATAGACCGTTTAGGTTATTCACGGAATGTTATCCGCTTGTATATCAATGATATATCAAATATATACTTAGTATATCAAGGGTATATCAAATATATACCGAATAGATATACTGTCCCGGTTACATGATAATCACCTTGGATGTTTATTTTATTGGATTTTGGATAATGCAATGCTATGAATTCAACAACAAATTGATTGAATAAAACTTTATTGAATATACATTTGTTTTTACAGAAATACAAACTACGAGTTCAGGGCAACACACCCAACACTGCTGATTTATACTTTGTTGATATACTTATGACATATTTTGATATATTATATTTTGCCTTAACAGGATATTGAAATGTGGTATTCTGGGGTCAAAGTACAACAATACTGTAAACTAGAAACAATTGACAACATCTTAAAAATGCTTTCACCAACTTAGAAAGAAATATTTGAAAAAGGACCCTTTGGACACTTCTTGTCATTTAGGGTTAGCAGATGTTCACTACAATTACTACTACATCCAATTAAGAGAATATCTGAAAAAGTCCAAAAGATGCATTAGTATTCAACTTTGGTGGAAAGTTTACAAGATTTGAATTGAAAGAGTTCAGTTTGATGACAAGTTTGAATTGTTGTGATGAATACCCCACTATTGACGAGATCATTATAGATAGAGAAACAAATACCACATAAGCTTAGGAACACCTTTTTTAAGCTTAGAGAGACAATAGATAGAATAGATGTACAAGCAGCTTTTCACATTGGGTCTCAAAATGGTAATTTAATGGTGAAAATTGCTAACTTATACATCTGAATGCTTATTGTTTGCCAAACAACTTCTCACTAAGGTAGAATGGAAGCATGTTGACATTGTCGATAATGAAAAGTTGTTTCCGAAATATCCATGGGGTAGGTTGGTATAGGATCTCACAATTAAATACATGAAAAGAGCTTCACAAGATAGATCATCAAATTATACCTTGCAACGCTTCCCTAAAACCGAGTTTCAGAAGGGATAGAAATAGGATTCCATTTTCATTTCCTAAACTTAAAAAGCATACACATAAGCACCCGAGGATGCCGAATCATCCACTGAGGAGTAAGATTTTTCTGTTTCATCCRAACCCACCGAAGCATCCAAACCAAAAGCTTGCACTGATTTGTTGGACGTGTGAAGTAATTTCCAAACTTTCTGATCCAATGGTTGGAATTGCAACAAAAAAGGATGGAAATCAAATTCCAATGTTGAAATGGGATATCCTATCACAATCGGATTGGCACCATCTGCAAGAAAATATTTTCTCTGCAAGTGATGTAAGTTTCTTATTTCACTGATATCTCTTTTTTTTTTTTTTGGTTCTTGTTTCTATTGATTTACTACATTTGTTGACTTATTATGCAGTTCTCAATAATTACAATTCTTCCTACGAAGATGAATTATCTATTGGCATCTTCACAAATTTGATGATCCAAGAAGACATTGTGCAAGATGACGATCCCAACAATATGGATGATATGGCAGAACAAAGAAATATTGAGGTGGAAGAAGGAATAGAAACACATGGTTCAAGTATAAGTTTGACTTTGAAGGAGGAAATATGTTGGGACTTTCTCTACCTTCAAAAAGATTAGAGACTCGTGCAAGCACATACGGTCATAAGTAATACTTGGTAGTAATCCAATGTCGAGTCCTTAGGGACTTTTTGCTTTCAAAACAATTTTAAATAAGTGAATAGTTCAAATATGCAATCGTGATTTATGAAGAAAAATGTGATGAAATGTTGCGGTTGGGGTTTTAACTATCAAGCAATTTAATAGAACTCAACCTCTTTGCTTCCTACCTTGGTTTTGATGCAAAATATGGAAAACACATTATGATGGGAAAATGCACCAGGTGCAATTCTGGCTCTTCTTGAGAAACTGAGTTTTACTCTTTCACTACCGCTTTTGGTTGCTGCAGAGACTAGGATAACCTACAATCATATGCCTATATGTGATTACAATCCTAGAGAATATCTACCAATTCACTTGCATTATGGGTTAGAGGGCCTATGTCTAGGACCATGTTTTATGCGCTTATGCCTAAGTCACATCCCATATTGGATTCCTATTATTTTACCTAACTCACCTGTCCGAAGGTTGAAATTTGGTGTATAAATCAAGTTCCCACCGACCGAATGGAAAAAAGATGTCAAGAGAAGTTTTTAGAAACCAACCTAAAAAAGTGTCAGGCGCAATTTTGGGCAAATCCTGAACGTGTTGAAAATCAAATCATTTTGACTAAGGCATTCCACAAAGAGGTTGATAACTAATTCAGAACATATTAAACTGAAAGTAAATGCACGAAAACATAAAGGAAGTATTTTTCATTGAATTTAAATAAATAAATAAGTCGTACAATGAGTTATAGCTTGACCCTCTTTTCTCTCGAGCGTGAAAGGAGTTGAAACTCGCTAAAGAAATTTAAAAGAACATAATGAACAAAGAACGGGAGTAAGAACTTGAATTAAAAGCAATACAAAAGGTAAAAGCGTGAAAAACAAACAAATGAACAACTAGAACATAAACATAAACTCTAAAAAGGTGTTCTATAACTAGAGAGCAACTAAAAGAAGATGAAATGAAGCTTGGAAGGGATGATTTGCTAATGAAGGGATGACTTCCTTTTATAGCACCATAGGTTTGGTTGAAACTACCCTTAATTTCAGGTGGAAATGGGTTAAGATTGACCTAACCACCTCACTTGGACTTGGACTCACGATTTTTAGCATGTGGAAAATGTCCTCCTTGCCCTTCATTAATCAAAACGTACGTTTTCACATTTTGTCCTCCAAAAATGCTTTAGGCACAATTCTGCAAAAGCAAATTTTTGTTATTTTCTTCCAACTTTGACCGCATTTTTCTCATATTTTTCCTAAAATATCTTAGTTTGACTTTTATGCATAAATAATCTATGCATGTTGTACTTTAAGAATATGTGGTCCTTTTTGGCAAATAATGATGGGAAAGGGGTAAAAAAACGTGGTCAAACTGGATTACTGACACATTGTTTCTGCAGTAAAAAGTCAATCTTTATACACCTCCAAACTTAGCCATTTACTTGTCCTCAAGTAAAAACAACAACAACAAATCTAAAACAATCAACATGCTAGAAATATGAATGATCAACAATCCAAAGTTTCTAAGTAAATGAATCATATAAGCCTCAGGAAAGGCTACACAAGCTAAACGTCCTAACTTTACTTTCAAGCCAACGAACCATAAACCATCCTTTGTTTTGAAAATAAAAATGATTATAAATCCTCTTCTTTTCTAAAACACAAAACTCTTTTACAAAACCAAGGAATATGCACACTTCCGTTCTGATTCAAAAGTTTTAAC